TGGAGTGGTGTGTTGTTTTTTGAGGTAAATGGGCCCCATTTACATTAGTTCTTTGATGTTAAATTCCTTGCTGCACATCAGAGAACAGTTGCTTCTTCCCTGGAGCAAGTTTTCTTTCTTCTTCTCCCCCACCCTTTGATTTTTTTCCTCCTTTTTTTTCCCTTCTTCTTTTTTTTTTTTTTTTTTTTAAAGTTTGCTTACACTTTTATCTAACTAATTATGGAGGATCAGCTTATGGATGGCCACTTTTAGCTAGTTGCAGGCATTTTGAAAAATGATTCTTTCATAGCTACTGCCCTAAAAAGTTCTTAAATCTGCTTCTTCTTTATCAGTGCATATGGTGTTGTTTGTGTCTATATATATTTGTATAAAAGTCTAGTTATGAGAGCAGTTTCCAAAGCTGGAAGATAGAGAAACATGGAATTATTTAGGTTGGAAAAGACCTCTAAGGTCATTGAGTCTAACCATAAAGGCAACACTGCCAAGCCCATCACTAAACCCTGATTGTTTGGGTTGGAAGGGGTCTTAAAACTCATCCAGTGCCAGCCCTGCCATGGCAGGGACACCTTCCACCATCCCAGGCTGCTCCAAGCCCCATCCAGCCTGGCCTGGGGACACTTCCAGGGATCCAGGGACAGCCACAGCTGCTCTGGGCACCCTGTGCCAGGGCCTCAGCACCCTCACAGGGAAGGATTTATCCCCCATATCTTACAGAATGCACAGATTTATAACATTTCGAGGACTCTGAACAGCTTCATTTCTGATAAATATCCAAGACATCCCAAATGCCTCCATGGATGTTGCTGGAGGATGGAATTGTCCACGTGGCTGCCAACCCCAGAGTGCAGGGATGGACCCAGGAGAGACCTTGGGGTTGTTTAGGGCATGTGCTCCATCGAGTGGAACTGGAACTAAAAGTTCCCTCTGATACACCTCACACCTCCAAAACAGCTTATAAATACCTGGTAATAGGGCAGGTTTGCTTTTGTGATGTGATGCTCTCATAGATCCTGTGCTCTTTTACTGATGCTGCTGTGTTTCATGAAAGGAGAAGGTGAAAATGGGGCTGTGTTAGAAGAGCATCCATTAATTCAGGCACCACATCTGGAGTGCTAATAATGGGTCTTAATTTTTACGTGAAATGTTTTGTTGAAGTCAACGCAGTTTTGCTCAGCAACCACAATATGATGCTTTAAGGCTTTTTAAAGAATTAGACTTGGTTTTTAAAACCAATTAACTGCAACAAGGACATAATCTTTTTAATGCAGAAGTCCTCAGTAATATAAAACAACCACATGTAAAATCGTCATAATCAGATAATTTTAGCTAAAATATGTATTAACTGTGTGAAACTAAACAGGAGTTCATTTTTGAATCAGTGGAATTCCTCTGCAGCTTATCCAATTTAAACCTTTTTCATTATAAAAATGGATATTCCAATTGATACTTCTGACAAGCTTCTGCCAAGTGGGGAATTTCAGCAGCCACCTCTCACACACAGAAAACGGGTTTCAGACCATTAATTCTATTTGCAGTGCTGCCCACTGCTATAAAAAGAGCTTGACTTTAATGAACACTGGCTGACCCTCCAAATGTTCACCTTCCACTTGGATTCTTATTCATTATGTTTCTGAAATAGCACCTAACCTGAAAGGGAGGGAATGCCCTTAAAATAATTCAGAAACAGCTCGTGCTTCCTCCAGCACATGCACCCAGCAGCCAGCTGGAAAAGAAGGAACCCAGGAAACTGCACCAGGCCAGTGTGAACCTTCTCATTTATCAATATAAATGTGATATAAATTCCCCTTGATGCTTCCTGTACACAGCTCTGTGTGTATTTACTCATTTCTTAGAACAAAAAAGAGTAAAAAGGTGGTTTTTGTGTCTAGCAGTGCTACCTCTGCCCCAGGGAAGGTGGTTTATGTCTCCCTTGGTTGCAAACCAACAGCCTGTATAAAGAGGTACTAAATTAGTTTTAGTTGCAGGTTTTAAGAAAGGCAAAGCTTCATATTTCAGCAGTTGAAAGATGGCAGTGGAAAAGAGGGTGCCCAGGCAGCCCCATGAGTTGAATCTTTTCTGTGCTGTAAATTGTGGTCTCTGCCTTCATCAGAGCTGCTCCTGTGGTTTGTGATGATGCAAGAGCTGCTGGGTGTTACAGACCTCAGGGAAAAGCTGAAGTCAGCAGGAGCCACGGAATTATGGAATGATTTGGGATGGAAGGGACCTTAAATCCCATCTCATTCTACCCCTGCCAGTGCAGGGACACCTTCCGCTGTCCCAGGCTGCTCCAAGCCCTGTCCAGCCCGGCCTTGGGCACTGCCAGGGATCCAGGGGCAGCCCCAGCTGCTCTGGGAATCTGTGCCAGGGCCTCAACACCCTCCCAGGGAACAATTCCTCCCCAAAATCCCATCTAACCCTGCCCTCCATCAGTGGGAAGCCATTCCCCCTTCTCCTATCTCTGCATGCCCTTGTGAAAAGTCCCTCTCCAGCCTTCCTGTAAGACCCTTTAAGGTACTGGGAGGGACTGTCCATAGTTTTTAGTGCCACAGGGCAAGTATTATCAGTTTTAGACAACCAGAGCCCATCTAGCTGTGCTTGTGCCATCTCCAGGGAAAGCTTTGGGAGCTCAGTACCTCTGAAATTCAGACCACTCAAATATTTGGGACTCGAAGAAAATGCAAGAATTTATGGTTTGTTGGTGACTGGGAGACAAAGCTTATAAATATTTTGTTAACTGGAAGTTGTTAAAGCCATTATAAAATAAAATGTTGCAATTCCTTTTAAGTAAACTGTTAGGATATCCTTTCTTTGCCTTTAGTTAGGAATAAAACAATGAAATCCAGAGTATCTTTCTTTTGAATCACCTCTGTCCTGTCTCTCAGAGGTCAGCCTGATTCTACTCAGTGCGAGCAAACAAATTGTAATTTGTTTATGGAACTCATGAGTGGTTTTTTATTATTTATTGGGATTTCTTCTGTGGGTTCAGGAGGTTATAAAGCTGCTTCTATGAAAGATGAGGACTTTTACCCCAGGCAAATTGAGCGAGAGCAGCTGTAACGTGATCTGTGCAGTGCCTTGCTGACGAGTCCCTCTCCCTTTCTGGGACTAACAGTAATTTATGCTATTGCTGTAATTTATTTTTTACTTTTTTCTCTAAAGATAAACTGGTGGTTTCAGTCACTTTCTGACATGCAGTGGTGGTAAGACATCATCTGAAACAAGGCTGCAGTACAATGGAACGAGTGTTAACGTGGGTCAGCCCAAGTACAAGAGAAACAGAGCATGGACAGAGCTCCCTGGGATAACTGCTGCTGTGTCACCATTCCTTTCATTTATCCACCCCCACCGTGGGCCCTTACAGTGGTTGTGGTTCACTTTTGAGTGATTAATAGAGAAAAAGTGAAATTTAATTTGTCTGGTGCTCCAGAATTCTTCGAGATGCTGGTTCAGACCAATGTGTATTGCCATTATCTCAGTCTATAACCAAACCAAGCCACAATGTTATCTCAAAAATGATGCACAAATTGGATAATTGGTTTTGATAACTTTTTTTAGTAGATTCCTCAGTACCAACAACCAGATGGAGACACCCATATGTTTCATAATTTTGGAATTTGAAGGGATTGAGGATCTGAAATTGCAATTTCATGTAAAGTTTAGGATTACTTTGAACTGGCTGTAATATTCTTACGCTGAGCTGCACCTTACAGAGCTGCCCGGATTGCCGAGGATGATTCCAGCCCTACCATGACGATCCGCAAATGCTCCATGGCTCTAAGCTCCTCGATTTTATAGCCCAGTAAAATCAATAAGACTCTTTGCCTGCCTGAAATCCCTGGTGTTTGCAGAAATGGAGCCTGAGCTGGATGCACACAGGGTTCAGAGGCTTTGGGGGCCCCTGTGGGTTTTTTTGGTTCCCCCAAAGAGGGGCTGGCGGGAGCTGGCGTTTGGCCGTTGGATGCGGTGCCGTAAAACTAAGGACGACAGATCAAAGGTTTGAGCAGGAGGTCAGATAGATTTTGAAAACTTAATCAGCTTAAATTTGCTTCAGAACTCAGCTGTGTGATATTCTGTCCCCCTAAGAAAATATTTGTCTTAGACACCTGTCCTCAAGTTTGAGAGCCAAGAAGACGAGAGCGCCAAGCAGTTCACCTGAGGACAGCGTGGTGGGGCTGGGCTGGTTTCTGCAAGAAAAATACAAATCAGGTTTCTCTCCTGAAATGAAATTGCATTTACTTTTTTATTAATATAACTATTACCAAATTATTTCTGAACTTAAATTATTTGAGGAAAAAAAACCTTAAGAACTGTTGTTCCTGGGGTTACAGAAATATTTGCTGGTTGGATTCTGATATGATCAAGCAGCCTAGTTTTCAGTTTGGTTTATTCTTTAGCTTTGAGTTATGAAAAAAAAAGCTAGGGTAAGGAAAGAGCTGTATGTCCAAGCTGGTTCAGCTGCACCTTGGGTAGATTTTCAGTGTAATCCCCACTTTTCCCTAGGAAGGGATGAGCAATGGGACAAAACTGAGAGGTCAAGCTGCATCCCCCATTTCACATTGCCTGAGACTTTCTCCTCATTTTTTCCCCTCTATTCAGAAACAAATTCATCCTGATAAACTCATTTATGTGTGTTGCCTCCTTCCCCTGCCCCACACACTCACACACACACATACACACACATACACACACTCACACACTCATTCTCTCCTTTTTTTCTTTTTTTTTTTTTTTTTTATTAATCCGCAGAACTCTTTATGTTTTTCTAATAATTGGCAGCAGAGGTACAATTTCTCCCCTCTTTTAAGTGATGAATAGTTGGCTCTAGATCAAAGCCCAGCCCTGGCGGTTTTTTGGCTGCCACAGAAGGGCGTTGTGGCTGGCGCGGGGCCGGCGCTCGGTGATAGGCATGTGGAGGAGGTGCCAAGCCCAGGGCCCGGTGGCAGAGTGTCTGTGCACATCCTGTGTCTGAGCTAACGGGCTGTCTTTTGTGTGTGTTCCAGGCCAACAGCCAGCTGAGGCACACCAAGGAGGAGTTCCGCCAGAAACTGGCCAAGTGCTCGCAGGTAGGTGGCCAGCAGACAGCTCAGGTGAACCTGTTCCACTTGGGAACTCGATGAAAAGTGGAGTTACTTCTGGTCTTGAAAACCAAGAGAAGTCATAGCTCGTTACCGAGTCAAACATCCAGTGTCTTCTGGCAGGTCTTAACTGAAAAACCACAGGGCATTAAGCTGGAAAATACAGGTGGGGTTTTTTTGAGTTCTGAATTTCATCTCCTGAGGACCCCAGAGGACCGAGTCCTCCTTCAGCCAGTGGGAAGGAAGGTGAGGTGCTCCAGCAGCCAGCACGTCTCACAGAATCAGGGCAGTTGCACAGCCAGGACTTGCATTTCATATTAAAGGCCAAGGTTTCTTCATCTCTATCATTGATCCCCACCAGTTCTGCATTTCTGCCCAGGACAGCACCTTGAGGAATGTCAGTGTCTGGAGGCAGACTGGTTTGGACTTGCGTTTTTGGTCTTGAGAGAACTCAAAAGATGAAAATGAGTGTTGAATTTACATATATACTTAAAAATGGTAAGGCTGGATGGTTTTACATACTTCAGCTTTCAGTTTGACTGACAGGTAGTACTGAAGTGTGAAAAATGGTGGAGATGCAACCAGAAGTTAAGCTTTTAATAAGAAGAAAATTGCCACGAGGATTTGTGTGGAGGTGTCATTCTCCTCACTGCTCCCAGCCATAGCAGTGTCTGCCTTGCTCTGCAAAGTGTGTCTGCAGCCAAGAGTCCAATAACAGTCTTTTAAAATCAATAAAAACACTACAAAGAAGGGTTTAGCAGCCTCTAAACTAGACAGGAGCAATCAGCCAGACAATAACAAGAAACTGCAAACTTTGAGTGTTCTACCAACACTTCAGAATATTTAAAACTCTTGATTTCAGCTTTTCAGCTCCTTTGAGCCTTATTCTCTGTAACTCTTGTCCAAAATTGTGACTTCAGTGGTGACATTTATTGGCTGTCACTTTTTCACACTGCTTTATCAGAATAATTGGTAAATACATCTTAAATTCTATTATTAAATCTAAACCTGTATTTTTACACATTTATTTGCATACAGAGGAGTTGTAGAGTCTCCATCCTTGGAGATACTTAAAACCTGACTGGGCTGATGCTGAACAACCAGCTCTGGGTGATAATTGCTTTAAACGGGTCCATTCCACCCTCAGAAATTCCAGGATTCTGTGGTAAATCAGAGAGAATTTTCTCTTTCCTAAATACCTTTCCAGTAATGTACAATTCGTAATTTAGTAATGTCAAATTAGTAATTTTGTAATTTTTGAGAGGGGGAAGGAAGGAGGGAAGGAGGGAGGGAAGGAGGGAAGGAGGGAAGGAGGGAAGGAGGGAAGGAGGGAAGGAGGGAAGGAGGGAAGGAGGGAAGGAAGGAAGGAAGGAAGGAAGGAAGGAAGGAAGGAAGGAAGGAAGGAAGGAAGGAAGGGTGGAGATGAAGGTATCCAACCCTGGTGTCACCCTGCCTCAGGATTGTTCAGAATCAGGAAGCGTGAAGATGGGAATGAGGATGGAGATGAGGACAGGGATAAGGATGGGGATGAGGATGGGAACGGAGATGAGGACGGGGATGAAGATAGGGATGGAGATGAGGATGGGGATGA